GTTTATCAGTACATTACAGAAAATAATGAACTTTATCACAATATGCTAATTTTTTTGAGAAGGACCTGTAATTTGAGTCAAATTTTCAGACTAACAAGACAAATAATCTTACACATTCTGAAAACAAGATGATTATTCTTACACAATCAGTTCTTGTTTAGTAAATCAGTCTGAAAACAAGATCAAAAAGACTTTTTGGCTGATATAAGATTTAAAAACTTGGTTAGAAGGACATTTTTTGCAGTGAACAAGAAAAAACAAAAGTACGTTTGTCATCTAAAGTATCGGTTTGTGTTTAATTTCCCACGTTTAACCGAACCTCACAAGGTTTCAGCCGGTTAAAAATAAACTGAACTGTGAATTTCCATATGGCGTCAGCAGCAGCGTTTTTATTTATACACAAGTTCCATGAATGTCAAGAAGGTCTGAACTTGTTTTGAACGAATCCCTTTCTAACGACTACATATCAAATATATCACTGAATTTTTACTATAATTTATACAGCTGTAACTTCGATACATAAACTTCTTTATTACATTTGAAGGGACGGCAGGCTCCTCCCCCTGCCCGTTCCCTTTGGACTCACTTCCACCGGACGTTTCCACTGTAAGCCGTCAGGACTCTGGAGGGGTCTGCGGTTACATCTTCAGGAAGTATCCGCTCCTCGGGACCGTTTCCAGGTTAGCAGCAGGGCGGAGCGCACCGAGGCCGTGGTTAAAGGTGACACCTGGTTGGGTTTAGTTCAGGAGAGTTCCGTAAAGCTGGGCCTTGGTCAGACTGTCCTTCCTGGAAAGCCCCAACGAGCCAAACTTCTGGTTGTAGGGCGAGGGAGGGGGTGGGGTCTGCGGCGGCTGGCCCACCTGAGCGGGCATGCTGTGCATCTCCACCACCTGGTAGTGCTGCAGCTCGGCGGCCATCTCCAGGGACCTGTGGTGGAGCGACTCGGTGGAGCTGTTGGGGCTGGGCTCCATGTAGTCGGCGCTCTGGCCCGCAGCCGCCGCGCCGCCCTCCCTGTCCTTGGAGCTCCCCGAGTGGTAGAGGCTGTGCTCGGAGCCCTGGCCGTCCTCGGCCCGGTACAGGTGGGCCTGGCTATGGGCCTGCCGCAGACCCGGGCTGCGTTCGGGGCTGGCGGCCGCCCACGCTGGGTCCACGGCGTCCGCTCCCTGGTGGCGGTAGTAGTCGGCCCCCTCCTGGAAGCTGCTGTAGAGCGGGCCGAGCCGGATCTTGGCCGGGCGGACGGAGAAGTGCTGCTCGGAGAAGCTGTACGGCGAGGCCCGGCCGGGGCTGCGGTACGAGTGGGCGCTCAGGTCCTCCACGCTGAGCTGCCGCCACCGGCTGATCAGCTCCTCCTCCTCGGGGGCCAACATGCTCCCGCGGCGGCTGTCCCCGTAGGCCACGCTCGGGGACGAGGACGGAGGCAGCGGCTCGTAGGGCTCGCTGAAACACGAGGACATGGTGCGGCTGTAGACCGGAGAGCTGCCGTTCTGGTGGTGGCTCAGCTCGCTCTGCTGGAAGGGGTGAGCGTTGGAGAAGCTCCCGGGGCTGTCCCTCTCCCAGGACGAGTCGCTCTTCCTCTCGTAGTCCCCCGCGTCCCTCCACTCCATGTAGAGGGAGTGGTGGCGGGGCGAGGACGCCGCGCTGCTGGGCGGGTTGTTGCCCTTGTCCTCGGACCCCTCGCCGCTGAAGCTGGAGTAGGAGCTGGAGGCTCCGCCCAGCGCGGCGGGGAACTTGTCGAAATGCTCCTGGGAGAAGCCGTCCCTCAGCCCCACGGAGCCCTCCTCCGGGGTGCTGTCGGTGGAGTTCTGAGGCCCGTACAGCAGCGTCCTGTAGCCGTGCACGTCCATGCTGGGCCTCCGCTCGCGGTGTCGCTCGTCGGGGCAGTACAGGGCCGTGTCGCTGCTGTACAGGTCCGATTTGTAGGCGGCGCGGAGCCCGAGGCGCTCCTCGGGGCCCAGTCGCTCCAGGATGAACGTGTGCTCCTGGGCCTGGGGGCTGGGGGAACGGGACACCTGGCTGCTGCTGCAGGCTTCGTCGGGCTTCTCCAGCACGTCGGCCATGAGGGAGGCGGAGTCGGGGTAGTCGTGGCAGAGAGGAGCCTCCTCCAGGTGCACCGTCAGGCGCTCCTGAAAGTCCGCGGGCAGCTGGAAGTGTCAGAGGAAAACGTGCCGTAAAGTTTCTGCACAGATGGAAGCAAACATGCAGCTTCATCCTGGCTCAGATTTAGTCACCAATGATTCAAATCAACACAGAGGATTTGTTCGGCAGCACTCATCGCATTGATCAATACTCATCTGTCACTCTCAGATGAAAGGAAATTGACTGAGGGGGTAAAAAAATAAAAGCCCCCTCAGTGGAGAAAAGCTTTATGGTCAGACAAGACAAAGACTGAGCTTTTTGCCAACGATGAGGAAGAATGAAGACGAGGCTTTTAAACCTGAGAACACTGTAGCTATAAGCATGGTGGTGGTAGTATCATGCTGTGGTACCGGTGAGGTGATAGACTAATGAAGGATGGCTATCTTCAAATTCCTCAATTGGACTTACAATTTCCTCATACATTTAGCTGTTTCAGTCATTCGGCTGTCAAATCAGTCAGCTTGTTCAACAAATTAACTTTTTATTATTTAAATGTTGACATTTTGTTCTGATAAAAATGTAGATCTCTTCAATTCCTTAAAAACCTTGTTTTGTTTCATTTTTAGCTTTTAGCTGCTGTTCTGCTGGTCTTAGCATGTGCTAATTTTAGCTTTTAGTTTTCCTTCCATCATCCATCTATCATCCATCCATCCATCCATCCATTCATCATCCATCCATTTATCATCCATCTATCCATCATCCATCCATCCATTCATCCATCATTCATCCATCCATCCATCCATAATCCATCCATCATCCATCCATCCATTCATCCATAATCCATCCATCCATTTATCATCCAACAATCCATCCATCCATTCATCATCCATCCATCATCAATCCATCCATCATCAATCCATCCATTCATCCATCCATAATCCATCCATCATCCATCCATCCATAATCCATCTATCATCCATCCATCATCTATCCATTCATCATCCATCCATCCATCATCCATCCATCCATCCATCCATCCATTTATCATCCATCCATCCATCGTCCATCCATTTATCATCCATCCATCCATTTATCATCCATCCATTTATCATTCATCCATCCATTTATCATCCATCCATCCATTTATCATCCATCCATCCTTTTATCATCCATCCATCCATTTATCATCCATCCATCCATTTATCATTCATCCATCCATTTATCATTCATCCATCCATCCATCCATCATCTATCCATTTATCATCCATCCATTCATCATCCATCCATCCATCATCTATCCATTTATCATCCATCCATTCATCATCCATCCATCCATCATCCATCCATCCATCATCCATCCATCCACTTATCATCCATCCATCCATTTGTCATCCATCCATCCATCCATCATCCATCCATCCACTTATCATCCATCCATCCATTCAGCATCCATCCATCCATTCATCCATCCATCTTTATTTTGCACATTTTATCTTTCATTCTGATTGTTTCAGTTTTTAACGTGTCGGTTTCACTTCCTTCAACAAATTCCAACAAAGTCATTCAGCTCTCAGAATTCAAGCTGCATCTTTTCTAAAAATGCATGTTTTTCTCTTTCCACACAATAAACCCAAAGCTGACGTGTTTTGAGCAGATGATAATATGTTACTTCCTTTTCTTTAGTTGTCGTCCTTATTTGTGGCTGTAAGTGTGTCAGTGTGCCACAGCTTTCAGAAGGAACATCAGTGATAACTTGTCTTTGGAGTGGCGGTGTTGGTGATTAAACGTGTCGTCTTCTGTGACACGAAGAACCTCAGAAGAAGATAAGAATAGACTCTGGATGTGACAATAAAAGCCTTTGTTCTAATTTGAGCGTTTCTCTGTAAGAAAGCTTCCATCATCTTCCCATAGCAACAGGCTACGTGCTAATTGTACAATATCGCTTTTTTAATGAGAGCCAGAGAAATAACGACAGATTAATTAATCTCTGTACATTTTTCTCTACATTTGTTTTGTTGAAAGTCCTGCTCAGCTTTCTGTGGGTTCAGGCACGTTTCAAACCCTCTCTGTGCTTGTTTTGCTGCAAAACAAGCGACTGAAGCACTTCAGTGGGCGCTGAAGAGCCACAGCATTTCTCCACAGCGCAGCAGCAGCAGCAGCGTTCATCAATATTGTTTCGATTAGCTTCCACCCACAGGATCGTACAGCGATTACACGAGCAGCCTCTGACCCTCTTCATGTTTGGTCAGAGAGCCGGCGTCACAGCTTTCTGCTTCACGATGGAACCTCAGCCGTGCACGCCTCTGGATGAGCTGTTTGTACGCAGGCGTGGTTTTGCTTCCATCCATACCTTCATGCGGCCGTCTCATGCGGCGAGGCATTCTTTAACCTCGTGGACGTTTGCCAGCTGTTCACTGACACGGGGGAAGGCTCAGGGCCCACGGCTGATGCAGCAGAAAGCGGAGCCAAGCTGATCTAAAGTTAGAGCTCTCATCGATACCAAACAGGCTTTCTGTTCACAACAACCCGCAGCAGAGCCGGCTCAGGTTTCAGACACACACTTCTTACAGCTGAATGGTTGCTAAAAAGTGCTAAAGTAGCCAAAACTGAGATGTTAGACCAGGGGTGTCCAAACATTTTGTCACATCGGCCAAAATCATGAAGTCAGAAGGACTTGAGGACCAATAGTTTTCCTTTACCTGCTCAACAATAAACTAAGCATTGAAAAATTTAATTAAACAAATAAAGTAGTCAGATTTATTGCTGGAAATGGATGAGTAAATTAATCTAGGTCCAGAAGTTTAAAAGTGTTTTGCAGGATTTCCCTTTATTGAAAGAAATTTTGCAATTTTCTAGGTTTCAATTGTGGAAAAAAATAACCCAGTTTAGTCAATTCTGATCAATAAAATGAGGATTTAGGTCTCTTATTTTGAAAATGCTTGCTGTATTCAGACAAATTTAACAAATTAATTTAAAGCAGATTGGAGTGCAGCAAAATCAGCTTTTCAGTAGAAGTCACTAAAGCTAAGAGTCTGGTTATTTAAAGACAAATAATCAGTGTGCATTGCCAATGCAATGCACACTATTGTGATTCGTTTCCCATCCAAGTCATCTCAACTTTGCCATGCTCCTCCTCCTGCATACTTTGTCCTAGAGCTGCCATTGTAATTTATATCTGTAAAGCCCCTGTGCCAAATGATGGCTATGCCTTTTGGTGCCTGTAAAACTTATAGTTTTTTGAAATATTAATGTTTAATAAATTATAATGGCAGTCAATGGAGCCTTGTATTGGTCCAATACTGCCCCCTGCTGCCTCTACACAATATAGTACTGCACCATAGTTTTATAATATTTAAACTCAGTAGTTCAGTGATTACAATATTAATATGATTGTATTTTGATGTTTTACTTAATACTGTCTATGTTGTCCCATTGCTCTAATATATTGCACTTAAGTGTCAATAATTGCATTGGCAAGGTAAATGTTTTCTGTATACATACAATCTAATCCCTGGTATTGTCCTCTGCCACATCTCCTATAGTCTCATGATGAGCACTGTGGGCTTTCATGTGGGAGATCAGGGTTCAAATCCAGCTACTGCAACTTGAACAAAAATCTCTTCAAAGTTCATATTGTCACTCAATTACCTTAATTACAAACACCTGCTGACGTGACAGGCACAAGCTGGTTTAGAAAACATATTTCATCCTGGTCAAAGTTCATTCTGCAAGTCCAATGCTGCAGGCAAAGCCATGCTGCAATGACAAGCTACATGGCAATGCACACTTGTTTTTACATCGTAAAAACCCATGTCTAGTTGATATTGTTACCAATGTTTGTTATTGGAAGAAGATTTTACTTTGTGATCATTTTGTCCTAATAAAAAAATAGAAACACCTGAGCCGGGGGTACAAATTAGTATAATTCTTGAACTGATGTCAGGGGCCACAAATGGCCCCCGGGCCACACTTTGGACACCACTGTGTTAGACCTAAAAGAAAAAGAACACTATAGGTAGCAAAAAGGCTGGCTAAAAGCTAATGTAGCCAAACACTAGCTAAAAGCTAAATGTGTAAATAGGTGAGCAAAAGCTAAAATGAATAAAAAAGAAACAAAAAAAGATATATACATATGTTTTAACAAACTGCACTACATGTTTGTTTAAAATTTTGCCAATAACTAGCAGCACCTTTGCTTAAAATTCAATGTTAATACAGCATTTTTAAAAAGTATTATTTTTATTATATTCTTCAAAAACAGTTTAGTTCTTTTAAAATCAGACTTTCCATTCAGGATTTAGATCATCAAAGAGTAAAAATTAGGAAATGAGTCCTGTTCATAGACAGAGCACACTAAAAATAACTCAACAAAATGTCAAAACACAGCAGTCTGTTAGCCAAATATCTCATGAACCATTTGATGGGTTTTAATGAAACTTCCAGGAAATAATCCTTAGACGTTTGCCTACAGCTGATTAATGTTAACCAAATTCAAGATGGCCGCCACAGCGAATTCATTTAGAAAACACAAAAATGGCTGTAAGTCAGTCGGTTTGTCAGAGCTAAAATTTGATTTGCTGAGAGGAATTTAAAACATGTGCCCTGAGGTCTTGAGATTTTTTTTCCAAGGTTTTATTGAAAAGGTTTGACCAAAACTTCTTCATTATTTCTCAACATAATTAATAATCTTAGTCTTTTTATTTACAGTGTATAACAGTATATTTTTCATGTCTCTGAGGTGAAGGTTGCTTGTTTTAATTCCTCCTCTGTGTCTCAGTCAGTCCTGACGTGACTTCCTGTTCCATCACTCTGCCAGGTCTCTTCTCTTATCTTTTCTGGCTCTCGCAGGACAAGATGACCCTCTGCTTACAGTCGAGGCAGCAATTTTCTCTTTTTTATTCCTGCCTATATTTCAGCTTAGCGCTGCTTCTTAAACCACTCACTCATACCACGCAGCTCAAGTATGAAAAAAAAAAAGTTTTGCATTTTTATGCATCCAAGTCAAATGTCAGCACGAAAAGCTCTGAAAGCTTCTGGTCTTAAAGCGTGCAGCGGTGCGGGGCTCACCTCAGAGAGCTGGGCTCTGTACAGAGACTTGTTGCACTGCAGCAGCTGAACAGCCAGGTTACAGTCTTTTCTGTACACATCCTGCAGAGGGACACACAACAACACAACCAGAGAGAGATGAAACTCCTCTGAGAATCACTTCTTCAGAAACACACACTGAGCTCTATTATTTATCATTTGTGTCATTTATATTCATATTTCATGTATTTATATAAGTTTGTGTAAATGTTGATTCAGCACTCACACTATTGTTAATCTATGTCGACATGGGTCCTGCCCCAGAAAAATTTGAAAGAAGTAAATGTTCCTGCATTCTTGTGTATTTTAACAGGTTGTTAAACAGACTTTTACCTACATAGCTACATAGGAAAACACTTAATGTGAGTATTCTATAGGTCAAGTGGAATAAATGTATCTGTTAAGCAATAGAAACAGAACTGGGTGTATTAATATTTTATGGTGACTGTGAGGTTCAAATGAATTAAATTTTAAACATGATGGGGAAGCTTCACTTCAAAAATGATTGCTGTGATGTCATTTTATTTAAAAATGTCAAAATATATATTTTAAAGACAAGCAACAAGCTTTTAAATTTTAAAGCCATCACCTTTTGTGTTAAAAGTTTTGTTTGCTTGTTGATGTTTACGTTTGTGAAGAAAAACTGTACTTATAAAAACCCCAAAACTTCAAATAAAGACTAAAACAAGCATCTACTGTAGTATTATCACAAACTATTAAGTTATTTACCTTTTTATATTATATTTGTTTTAATAAATGTGATTTTGGTCTGTGAGAGAAAACTGGAGTACCTGGAGAAAACCCACTCCTGCACAGGGAGAACATGTAAACACAGAACAGAAAGTTGATCTAGCAACCTTCTAGAGGCAACATGTTGCTTTACCAACTGTGCCACTGTACTGCCTAATTTTATATTTATTATATAATTATTTAAACTATTTAATTAATATTTGATTAAAAATACATCTATGAATATAACCTCATGAGAACCTCCATCTTTATTTNTATGAATATAACCTCATGAGAACCTCCATCTTTATTTGGGAACATTGGTTTTAGACTGGTCTGTTTGTCCTTATTCAGAGGTGCTACATTTTCATTTTAATTAAATTTTTTATTTTAAAAAAATAATGTTTTTACCTCTTAATTGTTTAAAAAAATCAGTGTTTGATTTTATATTTATGAGGTTCTATTCCTAAATAGGTAGGAGAATTGAAAAAGGAAAAACCTGGGTACTCAAGAGGATAAAACTATGGGGGCCACTGGGGGGGCCAGCAAGCCCCCCCTTGCTGGCGCCCCTGATTAGCCGTCCAAACGTTCAGCTCATTCAGGAGACTCACGTTGTCCTCCTGCAGCTTCTCGATGGTGAGCTTGGCCTCCATCAGGTGGTTGTTGAGGACGATGATTTCTCTGCTCAGAGCTCGTTTTTCATCATCGTGGTGCTGAGACTGAAGAAAATCAGCACAAGGCTTCGTTAGTAATTAGGAACTTCCTCTAGGGAACACGTTTGCAGCCGTGTTCGTGGTGTACTTTACATGTAGAACAGCAGCAACAGAAAGAGAGAGAGAGAAAAAGCTGTAGGTTGATTTTTTTTATGTTTTCAAGCTAAAATTATAACCACGGTTTGCTGTTTGTGGGGTTTTATTTCTGGCTCAGACTGTGCTCCCAATAAGGAAAGAGTATAAACGTCTATGCAGGCGGTCAAAAAGGAACCATTTTTGTGTTACCTGTCAAATGGCAAGAAATTTTCATGTAGGGAAAAAAAATTAAGAAAGAAAATAACACTGAGGTTGTGGTTTTCTGTAGGTTGAGAAGATTCCCTTTTCAGAGTTTGTGTTTTTCTCCCCACAGTTTCTGTCTGATTGATCATAAAACTTTAATAAACAGAATATACCAGCGCTTCAAATAGAAAAAAAAAATACGGAAACCACTTTGCAATTGAAGTGGCAGAAAGAAACTTTTGTACTTTATAGGTTATTTATGGACCGAAACGTCTGTAGTCCCTGCTAAGCACATTCTTATTTTGGGAAACGCACTTTGTGAACTCTCAGTAAGTCTTTATTTTTAAAATTTAAAGCCAAGCGTTCTTTGAAGGAATGCATGTCACCCGCATCCTTTCATACCAGAGCAGCCAGTTCAGATGTTATCAGTCAGTGGCGTCACTAGGCCTATTTTAGGGGGGCTGGAGCCCCCTAAAATATTTTAAAGCCCCCCTCAATTATTTTGGTGTAAAAAATTTTTTTACAAAAATACAATATGATGTGGTCAGAATAAATAACCATTTAATATTTCATTATTAACTAAAATATTTTATCATAAATCTGTCAGATTCCCTTTATTTTTTAGTGTAAGGTAGAAATCCTCTTTGGTGCGTTGTTATCCAATCCATTCCATTTGTTCATATATGTACAGTATGTACACACACACACACACACACACACACACACACACACACACACACACACACACACACACACACACACACACAATACAAATAATATACAAAAATTCTGAGTGTCTCCTGGGGGCTAAGCCCCCCTTGTCCTTAAGACCTAGTGACACCCCTGTTATCAGTCCATTAAATGGACGTTATTAGCGGTTATCAGTCCCATAGAATGGCTTCAGACTGTCCCGACAGTGCCCCCTAGTGGGTTACCAGTGCCATATACGTTGGAATGCAACAATCTGCTACCGCCGGAGTCCGGCCTACCTCATCGTAGCCCATGTCAGTTTCTCTAAAATTAACCTTAGTGGTTTTAAGCCTCGTATTAACCAGATTGCATAAAAAACCTTAGTGTCTTCATGCTTCATACTAACCAGCTGACAGTCTGAAACCATTCTGTGGGACTGATAACAGCTAAAAATGTCCATTTAATGGATGATAACATCTGAAACGGGTGGCCAGAGAGTATGTTATTCTACAAAACCAAATCTGTATAACTGATTGAATTAAAGCCATTTTTTGTGTTTACAGAGCTCAATTGGCTGGGGCGGCCATCTTGGATCTTTATAGGTGTTTTAATATTTCTAACATTCCCTGAAATGTGTATTATTTCCGATACAAAGCAGCTGTAAAGTGGATCTTCTCTTTAGCTGATGGTGTGCAGTTTTACCTGTTTGGAGAGGCCTGTGAGTAAAGCCTCAGACACTCGTGTTTATCTGTCTTGTAATTACATTCTCCCTAGTTGTGCAGGGGCCCAGGGGTCAGATGGGTTTGTGGCACCTCTGGAGTAAACAAGTTTTACGATTGCAGTGAGACTTACTCAGCACCCCTCTAACCTTTGAGGAGGCGCTACGTGAGGCGAATCCCTAACATCCGATCAGAGCTCTTCTCACAAAGAGAGGCAAAAAAGAAAAAAAAGAGCAGTTTCGTTTTTTTTTAAATGACCAATTTTGTTCACTCAGAACGCCGGGTGACCTTTTAGCTTCTTTTCCTTCTCCATACCTGGGTGTCTCACATTGTGTTCACAGCAATGTCGCAGTCATAACGATGATTATCTCGTGGTTTAGAAAACCAATGTGGTGAGCGTTTTTCAAACTGTCTATTCACCAGCGAAGACACCTGATGGTTACAGTGTTCTCCAGCAGACTTGGTAATTCTATCTTTCCACAAGCAAAAGCAGCATCTGACAAATTATGCGAGGTGTGCTGCTCTGAGGAACAATGGGTTAGCTATCCCTCTGCCAGTAGAAGGAGGACAGCCAATCGTAATAAGCCGTAATTAATGTCAGTGGCACAAACAGCGGGGGGATTGAGGCTCAATCTGGACCTCTGAGTGTTCTGTTCCATCTCCACAAACCGTGACTTGCTCACATGCTTCTCTTTCTTCTTTGACAAGTAGGAAACATTTGCATCACTGAGCAGAGCTGTGCAGATATACACACACACACACATGCACACACAAGTTCAGACATTTACATCTCTGTGAATCTTTTCCTCCAGATCCTGGTTGATCCTCTGTAGTGCCGAGTAGCTGCTCTGTATTCTGAACACAGGAAACAACACAATAAATGAAAACAGTGCTAACTCTCGTAGCTGGTGTGTGTGCAAACGCTAAATATACAGTCACAGCCAGAGAAGTTTCCAAACAGCTGCTTCAGCAAAGTTAGTAATGTAATGTATTAAGTAATGTGCTCCCATTTACTTCTCATGCAACTTTAAACATACACAAACGTTTGTGCAGCTGATATTTAGCTTCTGTTTTTGTTTTCCTGCAGTTTTAAAAAAGGGAATTCAAATTAATGAATGGATGGATGAATGGATGGATGGATGGATGGATGGATGGATGGATGGATGAATGGATGGATGATGGATGGATGGATGGATGGATGGATGATGGATGGATGGATGGATGGATGATGGATGGAAGATGGATGGATGGTGGATGGATGGACAATGGATGGATGATGGATGATGATGGATGGATGATGGATGGATGGATGGATGGATGATGGATGGATGATGGATGGATGATGGATGGACGGATGGATGGATGGATGATGGATGGATGGATGGATGGATGGATGGATGGATGATGGATGGATGGATGGATGGATGGATGATGGATGGATGGATGGATGGATGATGGATGGAAGATGGATGGATGATGGATGGATGGATGATGGATGGATGATGGATGGATGGATGGATGGATGATGGATGGATGGATGGATGGATGATGGATGGATGATGGATGGATGGATGGATGGATGATGGATGGATGGATGGATGGATGGATGGATGGATGGATGTTTTTACTCAAAAGAATTACAA